ACGATTTCTCCTCACGCTACTGCTACGCCACCCCCGCCCGCCATACCCCTGCCATGGCTCTGTAGCCGTGACCTCTTTGTGCCCCCGGCCCGTCTCCGCGCTCACCGCGTCTGTGCTCTTCGCTCACACCTTCTTTCTACCGCCGAGGCCGTCGCCTCTCCTTTCCACAGCCATGGAGTGAGTAACCCCTCGCCCCTCCCTTTTCCAACCGCCTTTCCCGCCCTTTCGCAGCTCGCGGCCTTCAAGACCAGGCCTAGGGGTAGGGAGACGTGAGCGTGGAATCACGTTCGCGCGGAATCACGTTCGCGCAGGCGCAGGGGAGGGAGGATGTGCCGTAGCGCGCCGCCGCGCATGCGCACTTAGCCTCAGGGAGGGAGAGGACGGGTTCTTCCAGGGTGGCGGTGTTTAAGCTTGGTCCGCGTACGGTTATACCTGCACACTACCCCAGATGGGGTTTTGGTTTTTTTTTCCCCTCAACGATTCGGTTCGCGGGAAGTTGCTCATGCGCATCAGCTCAACGGAGCCTTGTATTTATGTACGAAGGGCAGACCTCAAACGGCCGCACATGCGCACTGATCCCCAGGAGGGTGGAGGCGTGAGCGAGCAAACGCTTTGACCGCGGCGGAAGAGCATCGTGTGGAAGGGTGGGGGGTTGGGTCGCCGTTCTCCTCCCGTCCCCTCCCGCTTCCTGGCCCCACATTGCTCTGGCTCATAGCACAGTTTCCTTCCACTTAAATCGGGCACCTGCTGGGACGGGGACTGGTTTAGGTTGACAGGGTAGGAGGCGGGGCTTAAGAAGGCAGTGGAGCTGGGATCACAGCCGTCGCTAAGAGTGGGCATTGAGATCCCAGTGTGAGAAGGGGCGGGGCTAAGCCTGTCGTTCGCGGAGGGGTGGGGTTTCGATCGGGCAAAGGGGCGGAGCCTCTGGGGAAGCTTCAGGAGGGGCGGGGCTCGGAGGGACTATGGCGGTCACCACAAAGTTTAAAGGGAAGTGTGGTTAACATTGATGAAGGGCTGGCGCAAGGGGAAATTCCCTGGGAACTGATTGGGGATGTAATCTGGGAAAAGATGTCTAAAGGAATTACTTTAGAATAGTAGGGGCATAGCTGGAAGAAAATTCCCCTGGGATTGAGAGCTTTTATGAAGAGAATATTATGGGAGGGGTAGGAAGGGTTTGCGGTAATTCCCCTGGGACGCTATTAGGTTTCCGTATTGGAAAAAGGGGTGGGGTTTCAGAATTAGAGGAAAGGTAGGTCGGGCCAAAAGAGAATTCCCTTGGGAGTTGGTGGGGCCTGAGAGTTGGGGAAAGAAAGGACAGATTTAGGGCCGAGCCCGTGGCGCACTCGGGAGAGTGCGGCGCTGAGCACTCCCGCCGCGGGTTCGGATCCTATATAGGGATGGCCGGGGCGCTCACAGCGCTCACTGGCTGAGCGCGGTGCGGCCGGTCTCAAAAAGGAAAAAAAAAAAAAAAAGGACAGATTTAGAATTCTGAGAGGTTAAGGCTTAGTCCCAAGCCCTGGTTGGAAGGGGGAGGGAGGAGCCCCATAGACATGGGGGTGTAGCTTGGTTCTGTGTGACCCTGGCTGCTGGGCGAAGCTGACTTCTGACCCCACTCACTCTTGTCTCTCACGTGTAGGTCCTCCACTTTCGCCTTGGTGCCTGTCTTCACCCAGCTGAGAAACCACGAGAGTCCACTCCCAGCTGTTGGTGCAGCCTCCTCCATTGCCATCAGTGCCCAGCACCTGTGCTACAGCCATGTCACTCTTGGCGACCCTGGGGCTGGAGCTGGACAAGGCCCTGCTCCCAGCTAGTGGTCTGGGCTGGCTCGTAGACTATGGGAAACTCCCCCTGGCCCCTGCCCCCCTGGGCCCCTATGAGGTCCTTGGGGGAGCCCTGGAGGGCGGGCTTCCAGGGGGGGGAGAGCCCCTGGCAGGTAAGGGCAGGTGGAGAGTGGAGGTGGGGTGAGCTGGGGGGGGTAGGGGAAGAGAGGAAGGAAGAATTCATTCATTTATTTACTCATTCATTCCATAAATATTTATTGAGTACCTGCAATGTGCCAGCCACTGTTTCAGGTGCTGGGGATACAGCTGGGAACAAGAGTAACATGGTCGCTGCCCAACTGGAGCTCACACTGTGTAGTGGGGAAACAGACAAGAGACAAATTAAATGATGTATTGGGATAAGTGGGAAACATTTAGCAGCTGAGCTAAAAAAATGACAAAGGGGGCCTAGTTTAGAGTGAGTAACCAGGAAACCTTCTCCAAGTTACATGTCCACTGAGGCCTAAAGGATGGGAAGGAATGAGCCGTGAAAAGACCCAAGGTAAGGGCTTTTCAGGTGGAGGGAACAGAGGCTCTGATGTAGGAATTATTTTATTAATTATTGTTTCCCAAATGCTTGGCACATAGTGGGTTTTCAATAACTAATTAATTAAACACGAAATTGTGTGGTGATGTGATCTAGTTTGCCTTTTAAGAGTAAACTTAAGAATTAAGTCAAAGACACCACAGATATAGGGTACCCAGTAAAGGGGATGTTAGAATGGTTGAAGAAATGGTTGGTTGACTGTTTTGTTGGTTGGATCATTGTTTGGTTGACTGGTTCTTTCATTGGTTGATTTGTTGATTGTTTGATCAACTGCTTCATTGAATGGTTGGTGGACTGGTTGGTTGATTGGTCAGTTGTTTGGTTGGTGGTTTTACTGAATCAGTGGGACACATGAACCTGAATGAGACAGACATGAGTGACCACCTGTTGGGTGGAGGATCAGAAGCTCAGAGAACTTTATGTGTCCCCTTCAATCCCCAGGTGATGGCTTCTCTGACTGGATGACTGAGCGAGTTGACTTTACAGCCCTCCTCCCTCTGGAGCCTCCCTTACCCCCAGGTGCCCTCCCTCTACCTTCCCCACCTCCACCTGACCTGGAAGCCATGGCCTCCCTCCTCAAGAAAGAGTTGGAACAGATAGAAGACTTCTTCCTTGATGCCCCAGTCTTTCCATCACCCTCACCACCACCACCACCGCC